AGTATAAATTGAGGTATGTCTTTTTTTAACTTTAAAGACGATTTGAACTAGGATTTTATACGTGTATGGGACAATCTCGCATTAAGCCTTTGTAATTTCATAACACGTTTTGACGATGAACTTTACTTGTTGAACTTTATCATTGTTTTAGAACTAGACTTTGATTTTAAACACGGTTTTCTAAATCAATTGATGACATTGAAACCCTATTACGGGCAGGGGCGGACCCACATGTAAAGGTTGGGATGCACGTGCACCCGTTAACTTCGGAAAAAAATCATATATATATATATACCTATCTATCTTGAGAAACTGAATTAAAAGGAATATATTAAAAAGTGCACCCTTAATGAACATTAAACTGTCCTTGGTCTGCTAATAGAAGTGAGGAAATACGTCCTTGCAGACCCAGGTTCGATCCTGGTCAACAACTCTTTTTATTACAAAGTCAAGCGTCCATTAAGCATTGAAAATTTTGCTTTGCTTATGCTTAAATATTATTGGTGCAACCAGACTCTTCAAATCCTGGGTTCGCTCTGAATTTATTTACGGGAATATGATTTGAACAATAACGGGTTGGATATTATGCGATAATTTTTCTTTTTGTGTGTTGTGCCTTGTTATTCAACAAAGCCTTGTTTGGGCTTGAATTAATGGGTTGGGCCTACAGATATTCCCAAATCCATTGAACACTTTTGGCTTTACCGGCCCAAAATCTGTGTTGGATTCGAAACACAAATTACTCCATATTAGGAAAAATCACCTCATATATCTATTTAAGGCTTAATATTACAGCCTTTAGATGTACTTTTTTTATATTACTTCTTATAACAGTTTAATTACAAATATTAACAAATTAGTTTTAATTTATAATTTAATTTATTTAATTTAATTAATTAGTTATTATTTTTATAATTACATTATAATTAATAAGTAAGAGAAATAACATTAATATTAGAGAATCAATTGTCATTATATCTTCCACCATTTTAGGGAATATTAGAGAATCAATTGCCATTATCTCTTACACCATTTTAGGGATTTTTCCCAGATTTCACACAACAACCCCACCTTCCTCTTTTACCCACACGTATATCCCCCACCCCCATCCCCACGTTTCTCTTTTACAGAGAACTAATTTTTTCTCTCTCACCATCTTCAACGTTCGTCTTCTTCATTCAAAAGAAAATACAGTAGAACTCCCACATTTATATGATTTAATGGTGGGATTAGATCTACACACGAAGAATGTTGAAATTCATGCAAAGTGTGGTTCCTCTCAGTCGAAGGATCAAAAAGGGAAAGAAGAGGAAGGGGAAGATTGTAGAAACCCCTTTTGATTCGAATTCTGATTTTGTTAGTGAAAGAAAAAAAGAAAAAAAGCAACAAATGTAGAAATTGCTCAATCTTCAAAACCATCAACAAGAAGAACAACAAAAAAGAAGGAATCAGAAATTCGAATATCCAAAAAAGGCAAAAAAAGTTGTTAGGGTAAGTATTATATTTAATTTATTTTCACATTATTCAAATTAGTGATTTTTTTTGCTAAAAATATCACATTATGCTTATTGTTGTTTCGAAACTTTTGTTTGGGTCAAACTTGTACGAAATGTGAATAATACTTATATGAATCTGATTTTAATATATGATTTTGGGATATTATATGAAATATGATATAATATTGGTATGCAAATGGTATGAATTGTGTTTTGACATTGGTATGAAATTGGTTTGATATCAGTAGCCCAATGGTATGAGTTGTTAAATTGGTATGCAAATGGTATGAATTGTTAAATTACTCTGTTTTGTATGAATTATGACTAATATTGATATGAAATTGAGATTTTTTCTAATAGGAAGGTTTCTTTTTCAATTTCTTCATTAATGTATTTAAATTTTTAACATTGGTATGAAAATGGTATAAAATGATTTTTCTTTCAAAAAAATTTCAGTGATTGTGGTTTGTACACGTGTCTATTTGCTGAATACATCAGTAATAGAATTTTTGATATGCGTTCTATTGTTATCGATGCAAAGTACCATCGTCAAAGGTATGCCACAATCATATGACATTATGGAAAAACAAAGAATGATGATGGCGCGACCAGTGAGAGTGAAGTAACTGGCACTGTTGCTAGCAAATTTGATGGACCCCGCATAGCAAAAGAACATGCTCCGAATACCAGCAATTATCCCACACCAAGACCACAAAGATCAAATGTGAGATAGTTGATTGCACCTTAGACTTTTTAGAATTACAAATTATTTTTTTTACTTTTGGACGATATTTTTGTGTTTGTTACAGCTTTAAGTATTTGATATATATAATATCCATTGTTTTATTTCAAAAAGATACCAATTACATATGAATTATAGATTGACTATTGTAATCGCAGGATACTAGTTATATACAGACTGCATTCCAAATGGATACACCATTCTAAAGATAAATTACACATTGACTATAATAATT